ATTTTTCAACTGAGACCTCCGGCTAGGACGTTGACTATCTAATCTAACTACATATAGATGTTGCATGTATTTACAATAATATCCTTTGTAATAATCATGATTATTAGAAGTGAGTATGGACTTTAATCGTGCAAATTTAGGTCTACTTAAATACAAAATTAAGCATTTTGATTACCCGAGCCAACATGTGAGGTGATGCCTACGCAAATTAAAAATTATTAATATATAAACATTTTAAAAATTTATATTGATGATTAATAATATATAAAAACATTTTATGAATTAAATTATTTATTAATATAGATTTATAATATCTATACTAATAATTTAATTTTTATAAAAGAAAACCTATATTAACTACGAATAATTTAATTTTAAAGTGTCACTACATAACATTTCCTTTTGCTGTTGCGTTGCGTCGGGTGATAAAAAATTTGATAAATAGAATGATCAACACAAATTTCTTCGTCAACATGATACTAGAAGCTAGTCGTTTTCTTTGCCTAATGATTTTCATCAAATCCCATTAAAAATTTTCTTATTAATTTAAATGAACTCTATACGTCATCTAACTTGTTATAATAAATATGTGAAGATATTGTATAAAAAGTATTTAACTGTTAATATTTTTTATTTTTAACTAATTAAAACATATTATAAATATAATTGTAAATTATTATAAAAATTAAAAATTCTTGCTAAGATAAAAATGCATAATATAATTATAAATGACATGGGTTAGTTAAATGTATGGAAGCTGTACTAATCCACGCTCTAATTAATTTGGGCAGAGTTGTTATTTTTGTGAAGCAAGATACTTTACTTGAAATAATTAACTTCAAATTTGTAGGTATTTATTTAATAAGATTTATTTTAACTAATTACGATCTAATTATAATAGAAAAACTCACTTTAATATTTTTAATTTTGTTGTTAGTTTTTTCTGATTTATCATTGCCGTGACATATAAAAACGAGTTTTGAAATATAAATACCCATTCCGCTCATAATTATAAAAATGCATTTTAATTGATTAGGTTACATTTTAAATTTTTAAATTTAACTATTAATATACGATCGCTTTATATTTTTTTTTTATCTTACATAAAAAAGTTTTCCTCATTATATATAATTTTTAAATATTTAAGTTTACCAGTAGATGCGAATAGATATGTCAATATAAATAATTTTTAAAAGCATTTCTATAAAAATAATTTAGTTTTGTGAAAAACAGGGAAAACATATGCCTAAAACTTATAATGAAAACGGTCAACCGGAGTAATTTACCTATGCCTGTTGGAGACTTAAAGTCGCAAACAATAATAAGAAAATGTTAACTTTGGCTTTCAGGATTAAGAATAAATTATTAAAAGTGATAATTTTTTATTATAAAGTATCTATTATCTTAAAAATAATTTTTTTAATAAATATTATATTACAATTAATAATTAATAACTTTTTAAAAATAAAGATTGTTAATAATGAGATCTTTTAGATCCATTATACTAATGCTTTCTTTAATTTTTTTTTAAGGGATTGCAGTTCTTAATTAAGGGAAAGGACTGATATATTAAAGAGATAAATTTAAACTAATTTTGAATGTACTGAATTAAACACTAGGTCATTTTTATAGAAAAAAGAAACCGAGTATTTCTTTGGTCTCACCTAATGACAAAGGGTATCTATACTCTTTTAGCTTTACTTTTTGGACGAAGAATACCAACATCCTTTCAATTACATCAAAATAAATTAATAAGCTAATTAAGATAATTAACTAATAAAAGAAAGAATAATTATTCAAGCAATCAAAAGGATAATTTAGGACTAACCCATCAAGCTCATTAACCCAATATTATGTCTATAAAAAGAAACTAAGAAACATAAGTAATAAAATTGACTTCAAAATATTTAATAACATTTATTATCTTATACTAAACACTAATTTCACCGTCAAAGTGTCTTTGCAGATATCTTCCTTCCTTTACATACAAGAAGAATTTTGAATATTTCACAAGAATGTTATTGTAAAAAATAATGAGAGACTACAACAAATAAGGGTATCATTTGCAAGAACATTGAACATTTGATTTTTAATATTAATTTTAGAACTTAGATTGAGATGAAAATTTTCATTACGTTAGTGAGAGTTGGAAAGACTCATGCATAATACTATATGCATAGTGAATCATTTATTTTACTTAATTTCTTGACATTCTCTTGTAATTCTTTGTATTTTTGTTTACTTTACTTTTAATAATAATAATAATAATAACATATTCTAAAATTGTTTAAATAATAGTTAATTTGTAATATTGATGTTTAATTTACACACAATCGCTTGTAACAATTCTCTTACCCTTTACGTATTACTTATGTAATTAGGTACATTTATCGAATATGCTTCATCGAGACTAATTTTTCTAAAATTTTTTATCTTAAAAAGGTTGGGATTGAGTGTTATTTTTCAATTATCACTCTTTAAATCCAACTGTGAATGAATCTACTTCATCCTTAATAGGATAAAGGTATATCCTATGCCTGTTTTACTCTATTGAGAGCTAGCTAATAATTAGGCTTATTTATAATAATAATAATAATAATAAATAAATAAATAATTTTTTATTAAAATAATCTTTAAAAATATTTTTTATTTATGATTTTTCTTGTCATGTCATTTCAAATATCTCACACTACATATGATACTTGTTGCATGCATAATACATGTCACCTAGTTTTGTCTTTGAATTGTACAATACTATCTATGACATTTTAGAACTATTTCATAACTTTGTAACTTCTTTCGCTTTATAATATGAAAAGGGAGAGCTTCTTATAATTTGAGAGATCAAAGACCTTCTTCTAGAGTTGTGTTAAATATAAGAGAAATGTAACGAAAATAATATATATAATTAGTTACCTAAAGATGGAAAGAAGAAAATGATGAGAAGAAGAGAACTTATTACATATTCTAACGAGAAGTTGTGGAAACGTTTTTTTTCTTTATTTGTTGGCTATTACACCATTATAAAATTTACTTTTCAAAATTATGAAGTTTTTAAAAATTTATAACAGTTTCAAATCAACAATTTTAGATATAAAAAGCTAAAATTAAATTCAAACGGGCACAAGTTGTTTTGTTAGCGGAATTAATTATGAAAATTAAAAAATTTGTAACGATTTAAAATTATCACAACTAACTTTATAACACTGAGTACTTAAAATAACATATTAAAAAGAACTTAAAAAATAATTAAAAATATTTTTTTTAGTTTGATAAATAACTTTTTATTATTTTAATAAATAAGCCTAATAATTACATGACTCATTATCAATCATAATATTTTTCTATATAATTGATTATCTAATATGTCAAATGCTACATGTTTGATCAGAAAATTAATTATAATAAATTTAAGAAGTACGGATATGGATATGCTTTAGGAAAATTAGGAATCAGTTTTCAACAATTGTTTGCATTTCAAGTTAAAATGAAATTATGGGCACATTTAAGAAAAAGACTTAACTAAGTATATATTTGACAAGAATTAATTCATAAGTTTGACTTAAAATTTATTAAAATAAATTTTATAAATATAATTAAATAAGAACTTATAAAAATTAAAATAATAATTACTTTATAAACTAGCTTTTAAAATTGAGTTAAATTTAATAACTCGACAAAATTTCCCAATTTAATTAACCTGTTCACGTGGATTTCTCTGTACAAGATGCTTAGTTCTTCTATTTTTTCGGTGCTATTTACATGTTCTCACATTTTATTTAATACTATATTAAAAGAAAACCCTACATTTTTTATGCTCTAAATATTTAGTCTTGAGCACAAAGGGATGTGTTAAAGGTATATTGACGGTTAAATAAGAATTTAGATAAATTAAGCAATTTTTACTTTATATAATAATCTTAAAGTAAAAATTCAACAAATTTAATTTCTTTTAAAAAATTATTGAAATACTAAAATATATAATTTGTTTATAAATTTAACTATTTTTTTTACATAACTATATATATTGAATACTTATTGAATATATATTTTCTAAGTTCAAGATTTGTAAATACAAATCTTAATATTTATACGTTAATAAAGAGAGTTTAATTTTAGTATTCTGTTGGTATAAAAAATTTTACACTACTAATCAATTAGAATACATTATAATTTTTATATTAATTGCTATAAATATCAACGATTTTTATTAATATGATAATCCCTAATCGGATGACGGTATGCAATTTTTTATAATGTAAATGTATTTAAAATAAATTCAAATAAAAATAATAAAAACATTTGAAAAAAGATGTCTATAAATCTAAGTTTATTATTTGAATATAAAACAAATAATATTATAATTTTTTTTTCAAATATGTATTTGTTTATTTTTTTCATGTATGTATAATTGTATATACATATTTTATAATAAACTAAAAGTATAAAGAATAATTAATCTCATTTTAACGCCTAAAAAACATTTAATTTACAAATTGTACTAAAAGGTAGTATAGTTTGAAATGAAATAAAATTAATTTGAATAGCTTAAATAAAATTATTAAATGCAATTAAAAATAAATGTTAATTATAATTTTGACGGAAAAACGTGGATGAGAAGAGAAATTGAATTTATGGATAAACGAAAGATGAGTTAAATATATTTGGCGGTGGCATTGAAACCGATCTCATTCTTTCTCTGTTAAAATTGAATGAGGGGAACCCCCCACCAGCGCACTTGGCATCACATGATAGGATTTGCTTATTTTTTCTACAAAAGAAATAAATTTCAACTTTTTAGGTGAGTGACAATGTCCGTTCGCACAACACTTCCCCGTTCGTTGTTGACCTCTCTCTCACAAACAAAAAATGTTACTCTTTTAATTATAAATTTAAAAATTTTAATTGATTCTAGAAAATATATTAGAGTATATTCCTCATCTTCCAAAATGGCACTGTCGAAATTACACACAACATCACCGTTAAGTCGGAGTACACAGAAAGAAAAAAATAAAAAATAATTTTCGGACAAACAGCGTTATTGGGACAGAGAGAGAAAATAAAAATAAAAAAATTAATAAGAGAGAGAGAGACAATGGACGAAGTCTCTGCGAAACGAGTTTGACCTTAACCCAGCTTCCATCTCGTTTCCTCCAATTCACGGTGTCAAACACGCGCTTAATTCTTCATCATCAGCAGCATTCATACATTCCCAAAACCAAAACCCTTCTCTTAAATCACCCTCTTCCCAATTCCCAATTCCCAATTCTCAATTCTCAATTCCCACTCTTCTCGCCATACCCATTTCCCGAAAGTCAATTTTTTTTTTATTTCTATTTCCCCCATTTTTTTTGGAAACCTCATTTCCCAGATTCAGCAATCCAAACCCGGATCTCACCAAAACCTCGTAAAATCCGAACCCTTCCTAATTCCCAGCCATGGGTAACTGCTGCGCCACCCCAACCACAGATGAAACGAAGAACAAGAAGAAGAAGAAGGAAAACCCCTTTGCAATCGACTACGGCTTCAGCAACAACAACAACGCAGCGAACGGGTCAAAGCTTACCGTTTTGAAGTCCCCAACGGGACGCGAGATCGAGGCGCGTTACGAGCTGGGTCGCGAACTGGGTCGCGGCGAGTTCGGAATAACGTACCTTTGCACGGACAAGGAAACGAGAGAGGAGCTAGCGTGCAAGTCGATATCGAAGAAGAAGCTGAGAACCGCCATAGATATCGAAGATGTGAGGAGAGAGGTTGAGATCATGAGGCACTTGCCTAAACACCCTAACATCGTGACCTTGAAGGATACCTACGAGGATGACAATGCCGTTCACCTCGTTATGGAGCTCTGTGAAGGTGGTGAACTCTTCGATCGCATCGTCGCGCGTGGACACTACACCGAACGCGCCGCCGCCGCCGTTACACGAACCATTGTTGAAGTCGTTCAGGTTCGATCTGGGGTTGATTTGGTGGTTTCGGTGTTTTTATGTGTTTTTAGTTTAATGTTTTGGTTATAATTGTAAAATAAGTTTATTTAGATTTATATTTTATAATAATTATTTTAAATAAAACCGGTTTGTTAGATTCTGATTTTTTAGTGAAGTTGGATTGGAAATTTTTTTGTGCTTGGGAGATTTTTTTTAATGGAGTTGGATATAGTTATGGAGAAGTACATCGAAGTTATTAAATGACATTTACTTTTTGATCTTTGGGTAAAGAGCTGTTTTTATGAAGCTCGTTTGGATTTTAATTTTTAAAATGAATTATGTTTTATGAATAATAAATGCATTGCGTTGGGCGTGTATGATTTATTTTTCTTTTTGCAGTGATGTGTTTGGGTGTGTTCTTATTTTTGATGTGGTGAAATAGGGATTGAATTGTGTTTTGGCTGTGTTTCAGATGTGCCACAAGCATGGTGTGATGCATAGGGATCTCAAGCCCGAGAACTTTTTGTTTGCAAATAAGAAGGAAACTGCGCCTCTGAAGGCTATAGATTTTGGATTGTCAGTGTTCTTTACGCCAGGTATGATTTTGATTATTGATTTTCATTCTATTGCTGCTTAAGTTGATTTACAGTTGGCTGAAAGTGTTCCATTTTTGCAGGGGGAAAATTTAATGAGATAGTAGGAAGTCCATATTACATGGCTCCTGAGGTATTAAAGAGAAACTATGGCCCAGAAGTGGATATCTGGAGTGCTGGAGTAATTCTATACATCTTACTTTGTGGTGTCCCACCATTTTGGGCAGGTTAGTTTTGTCTTGCGAATGATGTATCTCAGTTTTTTTAGAGGCCGAGATCTTAAGTGTTCCACTTTTAAGTCACTGTAGAGTTCATGCTACCGATCTATTATCATATGCTTCATACTTAAACAGCAACATAAATTTTCGGAGGAGTAGTAGACACATGTCTTTGAATGGTCAAGAAAGAGTGATTTGTTAGTTGGTAAATATTATCTTCTGATCATGGCTTTATGATTGATGACAACAAAGACAAAAATGGATAAGTTATATCTTGGTTTGACATTATGATTGATGATTCATGATTTTCGATTCACTTGCTTGGGTTTTCATGCAAAATATGAAATGCTTAGGTGGCTAATTGCATTACGTCCAGCAATTGATCAGCACCATTTTTGTTTGTTGTGTGAATTAAGATGTTTCATTCTAATGTATGGTATCGCTCTTGTGTTTCATATTTCTCTTCCACTGTATTTGCACTTTTTTAAATATTAAAAGATGGAAGATTTTATAAATTCAATATTTTCCCCCTTCACTTTAGTGTGGTATATCTAATTTACCTTTACTCTTATGTCTTTGATTAAGTTGATTTTCTGAATCATGTTTCTCTTCCTCTTTTGTGAAATGAAGAAACTGAACAAGGAGTTGCACAAGCGATTATTCGATCTGTTGTTGACTTCAAAAGGGATCCATGGCCAAAAGTTTCAGATAATGCGAAAGACCTTGTGAAGAAGATGCTAGATCCTGACCCAAGGCGACGGCTTACTGCACAGGAAGTGTTAGGTAAAGTGCAGTTCGTTCATATAACATGCTTTTGAGAGACGAAGAGAAGTGTAGATTCTCTATATAATTTTTTCTGCTCAACATATTGGTTTGTTTCTTTTCTTTGAATTTTGCAAACATGAAATATCAGCATCCTAACATTACTTGTTCACTAAATGCAGATCATCCATGGTTACAAAATGCGAAGAAAGCTCCCAATGTTTCATTGGGAGAAACTGTAAGAGCCAGGCTCAAGCAGTTTTCTGTAATGAACAAGCTTAAGAAAAGAGCTTTAAGGGTAATGTTCTCCACAATATTTAAATATTCCTTGGGCAATCATCCCTGTAATGTTAATCCATATGACCATTCTAATTCATGAGTCACTCATTTCTTTTATCATTGATATTTTTCATGTGAACAGGTAATTGCCGAGCATTTGACTGTGGAAGAAGCTGCCGGGCTGAAAGAGGGATTCCGGGTTATGGATACAAGCAACAGAGGCAAGGTTAACATTGATGAACTACGAGTAGGGTTGCATAAACTAGGCCATCAAGTTCCTGATGCAGATCTCCAAATTCTCATGGAAGCTGTGAGTATTACTATCATCATCCTTCTTTAACCTCTTCTCCACAACTAGTAGTTAAAAAATAAGTACCATTATCAAAATTTGAGTTTTTTTTAAAATAAAATTTTCAGCTTATTTTCTTTTTAATATGTCACACTAAATGCAAACCTGGATCTTTTTGCTTAGCATAACTGTACTAGTTAATTTGCAAATACTAACAACAGGTTTTCTAACTTAGTGCATTTCACTAAGTGTTACATGTTTGTATAATCTCTGTTAAAATAACACAAATGCCTTTAGAAGGTTCTTGTATCTTTAATTTCTAACCTGTGGGATCTGCTTTTACAGGGTGATGTAGACAGGGATGGGCACCTAGATTATGGAGAGTTTGTAGCCATTTCTGTTCATCTGAGAAAGATGGGAAATGATGAGCATCTTCACAAAGCCTTCCAATTTTTCGATGCGAACCAAAGTGGTTATATAGAGATTGAGGAGCTGCGAAGTGCCTTATCGGACGAGGTTGACACAAACAGTGAAGAAGTCATTAGTGCGATTATGCATGATGTGGACACAGACAAGGTCAGTTCATTTTTTGCTTTGTAGATATACTAAAAAGTAGATTTTTGTTGTTTTGTCTTATTCAACATGCAGATAGAATGAAAAGCTTTGCTTCATTCTTAATTTTCATAATGTTCATTTGTTTTAGTCATTTTTGCGTTCTTTAACCCGTCATTTGGTGTTCTGCACCTATATGGTGCTGCATGGAGATCGTAGTGTGGTTTTAATGAAGATAACTAAAAATTGTTAATAGTTTTATTTGGAACCAGCAATTGATCAATGTTCCCATGAAATTGCAGGATGGAAGGATAAGTTATGATGAATTTGCTACAATGATGAAGGCTGGCACAGATTGGAGAAAAGCATCAAGGCAATATTCGCGAGAGAGGTTTGCAAGTCTCAGCCTGAAATTGATGAGAGATGGGTCATTGCATCTAAACAATGAAAAGCAATGACGGTAGATGAGTACTTTAGAAAGGCCAAATTTTACTTTGGAAAGGAAAATATGATAAAACAAGTCTTTCTTTTATTTTTTTAGTTTTAACCTTCTCTTAATTGTAATTCTTTTCTCTAATACCCATTTTTGGGTGGAAAAATATAGGATATTGGCACAGCAGTAATGTCTATTTGGTTTGGAAGTGTCTGTTTTTTTTTGGTTTGTTGAGGTTGTGGTAGTTCACAGTAGAGGGTGGGAGACAAGTCTTCATTTGTGGCTGTAAATATTTTTAATTATCACGCTTTATATGTAATCTGCCATTTTTAAGTAAACCTTGCCCCATGAATAATGCCTATATCTATAATGAGGATTTACTTTACAAATCAGTTTAATTCATATGATCAATTTTTCTGCATTAAATTTGAATCTCCTTATTGATAATGAGGATCTTTTTCAACTATTCTCCCCTTCGATATATAATGTAACTTTTTGTAACTAAAATATATTATATTTTTCATCAAATGAAATTACTTAAATTTAGTCAATTTTAGACTATTTAATTATTCTATAAATCTTAAATGTAAAAATGTAAAATTTAAACGCACCATGTCAAATTTAAATTTCATAATTTATTCATGTACGCTCACATATCTATCACATCTTATTTTTTTAAATCTATTTTAACACAATAAATAAAGGTTTTGTTAGAGTTCACGTTAAACATTTATAAATGGAAAAAATTTATAAAAAAATACTTTATTGTATTAAAGTTATAAATTTTTAATAATATTTTATTATTATTAGTTATTTATCTTTAACTCTAAGAACTTAAGTTAATAAAATCTATAAATAAATATTCATTTCTGATGATGAGAAAATCTCTGGCATGACTTTACACTGCCAACAGTGATACTTTTCTTTTAATTTAAATTTCATTTAAAGTTAAAAAATACTTATTATAAAATGAAATTTGAATCATCTTGTAACTAATGTGATATCGTTATGTTAGAAAAGAAAGATATAAGCTCAATTTAGATAAATTTTTTGAGAAGTGCTAATAAAAAAATTAATATAAAAAATGAATAAATTTTTGTCATAAATTTTAGAAAAGTTACATAAGAGAGCTTTCCAACAAATAAAGAAGTAAAAAAAAGAGAGATAATTTTTTATTAATTTTTATATTAATATTTTTCTCTTATAAAAAATTATCTTGATCATGTTTTTTCACTTTAATTGATAATCCATATATTATTCAACAGTATAAGATAATCCAAATCCAGAAAAAAAGTAGTGTGCACTTGTAAGTGAGATCCAAGGGTCACAGACTCATAGTTTGCGGCTTAGGCTTTCTTGTCTAATAATAACAAAAATACTAACATTATTGGTATAAATAATTATAAATCACCTTATTTTTATAAATAAAGATTTAATAAATTGTAAGCTTTTTATTAAAAATTATAACACATAAATAGCAAAAAATAAAAATTAAAAAATATAACACTTAATGTTGTGTAGTTTTCAATGCATTAGATCCTATTATTTTTATAAATAAAAATCAAATATATTGTGTGTTCTTGGAGATTATATCTTTTATATTTACAATCCTATTAATTATTGAATAACAATTGTTAAATATTTTTCATTTTTTAAGATAATGTTTATTTTTGGTCAAAATTTCATTTTTTTTAAGGTTAAAGTTCAATTTTTTTTGTCAAATAAATAGAACCGGCCTTAAATTCGGGCCGAAAGAAGCAGTTTTCAACACTACATTTTGTTTTGCTGAACAGTTTTCTACACTCTATAAATCGTAATAGAATAAAAGAACAAGATTACGGGCCAAAAGAAAGATTTGGGCTTTCCTGTTCTAAAATTAAAAAAAATTTATATTAAGTTGTTTTTTAACTGATCATCAATTCCCATCGTTAGCATCAAGAATATTGTTTGAAGTCTTGTTGACACAGTTTGAAAAGCATTGGTTAATAAATTTAAAATAAAAAATGTTAAAAATTTATTAAAATTACAGAAAATTGTATTAATAATATGCTTTGATATTTGGTTTTTATATTTAGTCTTTAAGTAATGTCATTCAGACAAAAATTAGTATTTATATTTTTTAAATGTATTTTGGATAGGCATGTATATTTTTTTAAAAAACGTAGGTAAGAGAAACAAATTAATATGTTGGGAATAATTTATAATGCACTGTTGACAGTAGAATTTTCTTTTACTTTAACATAATTAATTTTTAAAGGAGGACAGACAAATCCCATTGTGTCTCTTTTATTAGTAAAATGTATTTTTGAGATGTATATGAAAAATAAATAAAAAATAATAATACAAAATCAAAGCACATTTACAATTATCATGAAATTAAAATTTTTGAAGAGAGTTTAATGTACATTTAAATTAAAATTCTAAAGGAAACATCAACTCTTTCTAAATTTCATACTTTATCAGCTCCAAAAATTAAATTTTGAATTATTTTAGAATTTGAATTTCAAAATAAAATTTTACAAAACATCGATATATCCATTTTTGGAAAGTAAGAAATGTTATACGCCGATTAAAGAAAATTAAAAGTAATCTTAACCACTTAAATCAATATGTGTGAGCAAGTTGAAAATGATTATGATATGAAATTCAATTAAAATTAATCTTAATAGACAATGAAATTGAGATGACGTGTGATTTTGATCCAAATATTTGATAGCTGAAAAGTAGTCTCACCAAACCAGCATGACATGGCATTCATTGAATTGAGAAGTTACAAATTTGCTTCATCATCGAATTGATTTACTTTTATGATTGATGATGCACATGCATGCTGGTTCTTTAGATTGAGAAGAGATTCGTGTAGTGTAAATGTAAATAAACATTTTTATATATAGTCTAACTTTATTACACTAAAATGTTTAAAATTAGTGTAGTATATAATCAATAACCTTTTTAACAAATTATTGTCATTAACTATTTAAACTCAGTGCTAAGAATTAGGATTAATATTTTTGTTAAAACAACAGGGATCCTAATTAATATTTTAATATTTCTTAATTTCTACTTTTTTTTAATAAATTTATATGTTTAATTCTTAATATTGATCTAATTTATTGAAATATTATCATGTTTTAATTTTTAATTTGACCACATTAGCATTAGAGACTAAAACTAAAAATTTATTAAAAAGTAGGGACTAAAATAAAACATATTTGTTTAAATAAATAAAATTAAAAATTCCTTAACATATGAGGATAAAAACATATTTAAATTTTTATTATAATACAGTCCTGATTTTTGATATACTATTATCATGATTTTTAATAAAGTATTGTTTTTTTATTTTAAAAATTATATCATTGAAATATATATGTATCTGAATGTGTGTAGGCAACTCACATTTCTTTAATCCTATTTGTGTAGCGATAATAGCATTTAAATGTCATTCATTTTCTTATTTTATTTTAAGATAAACAATTATTTCTATAAAAGTATGTTAATTTCATTTAAATATGTAGTTATTATTGCTATTTTTTAAAGTTGTGATCATTAATTATTTAATTACTTGATTTAAGTCATTATAGTATATCACTTTTTTTAAAATGAATTATTATTAACGGTTTCGTTTCTCTTTATCTGTAAAAGGGTTGAGATTCCAAGTATTTCACATATAACAATTAACAATAAAAATTATTCTTATTTTTATTTAATATTCTTTCATCTCCTTTTTTTTTTGGACAATTATTTCTGAAGCTTCATTATGTTTTTGTCCTTTAAGTGCATAGATAATTAGGCACACAATTATTTTAACTTTGAAGAGTAAATGAAACATTGAGTTGCATTGAAAATAGTTTAAAATGAATAAATAGAGACAATGACAATTACAAAAAAAATATATTTTATAATATAAATATTTATACTTTTATGCTAATTTGTGATAATTTAATGATGATAAATTTAAAATAGAAATAATGAAAAAAGAATAAAAATACATAAATAGATATAAAATCCAAATTTAGAAATTTTAATACTATGCATTGTATATTAATGGTGACATATTTTTGAATTATTTTTATTATTATCTATTTTTATTTGAGTTTCAATTTGTGGAAAAGGAAATATAATTTTTTCTATGTAATTTTGTTAGAATTTTATATTAATTTTGTTATTTATACACTTGTTTTAAGTATAATGTCAAATAAATATTATGATTGTGTGACTCTGTTGATCCCTATTTTAAATTTGAATATATAAGAGGGACATGATTTATATTGAATTTGAATGTTTTTATCAAAATTAAAAATATGACTACGTAATTGAAGTCTATAAATTACTTAAATTTTAATATTTACATTGTTCGTGAAATGATAGATGAATAATTTATCATGGTCAATTTAATTATATGCTTATGTATAATTAAAAAAATGATAAAATGTTTGTATAAACATTTTATTGCAAAACTATCACACTTTAAAAGATATAATGTGCGTTATAAAAGCCTCATTTCCAGTTTATAAAAGCACACAAATGTATTCATCTGAAAAAGCAAATTGAGTATCAAATAACACCCAAATGGGCCAAAATTTACTCTTAAAACAATAATAATTAACTCGAACGTCTCTGCTTTTAATGTTTAAACAATTTGTCCTCATCCAAACACAGTCGTGAACTTGGCTTTGTACTACTACTTATATGTACATATAGACATTTCATCTTCTTAAATAATTGAGTAAAATTCAAAGTTAATTATTTAATTATAATAATTATATCGAATGATTGATGCATTCAATAGTCAAAATTTTATGATCCAAGTTGATTTTCCACTAGTTATTTCGTTCGTGGACCTTTCCCCAGTTCATCAATTCTTATGCAATACCCTACCTGATTTTTATCCTAGATGTATGACTATTATATGCCAGCGATTGTAACTTTACATGAATGATTAGACTCAAATAATTGAAACAAAATCACGAAAATCAATGTCGCTTAAACAATTGATTGTCCTCACTTGTCTCTAAGTGACTTAATATTCTTTTATTTTTAGCCTGTTTTGACATATTATTTTTATACAATCTAATCACTTCTCCCTACATTATTTTATCTCAGATTCTCTTTCTAGCTTGACACTCAACTTCGTGGTTTGACTTTGTAATATTTTTATAAATTTGCTACTCATTGGGTCATTGTCGATCGTACAATTGTCAGCCATGTTTGGATCAACCAAAAGACCGTCAGCAATCAGCATCCTTGCAAAGCAATTTTTTCCTTTTATTATATAATTTTGATTAGCTCATAATCTAATGGAAGAAGAAATAGTTACACGTATTACTACTGAAAATTATGGTATTAATTAAATTGCGGGGTTTATCATTATTTGCTGCATAACACATCACAAGTAAG